AGCTGATTGTGCGCTTTCAACGTTATGATAGCTTTATTTAAGAATTTGATATTTATGGCTACAACAAAAAAATGGTAAAGGAGCTGAACTGTAACATTATTTAATGCATGAGAAACTCGTGCCATATGATCACTTTAGAATAGTCTGAAAGTGACTTAAACGTAATTTTACTTTGCTTGCTACGTGCTTGGGCTACAATTTTAAATATGCTATATCACCTATTTAACATAACTTTGCAGCAAGCAGTTCGTCAACGAATGGGTTTGGATACTAGAACCAATGTCAGTTTTAAGCCCCAACGATTGTCATGTTATATGGCAGAACAAGAAGGATCCAAAAAAGACGAAGGCGCAAAGAAAAAGTAAAATCCTTCATCATTTAAGAACTTCATCTAAGAAGTAGTCATTGGGAATAAGTATTTGCCTATTGTTCAAAAGAAAAATAATGTTTGCCTTAATTTTCCACCACTAAATATAATCTCTCTTAATTATTTTAGATGTAGTTCAGGGCTTAAATGTAAAACTATTCTCAAATATTTATAAGCTGATCTTTGAGTCTAATACGACTTTCTAGGATATGTTGTATGAACAGCGAAGAGAGTGGTAAATCACAAGTTAAAAAGTCTGATTCGAAATCTTCAAAATCGAGTGGCTGTTGTAGTTCTAAGTCCATATCTCCAAGATCAACTGATGAACTGCTTCCGCTAAGTAAAGTTTTATGTAATTTGAAGGAGGTACGTAATTGACTGATATTAATTAATAGATAATCAATCAGATATATTAATGTCCCCATTACGGGGCTTAGGCCTTCCCTATGGTTGGATTCAGATAAGGAGAATGGGCCATGGTCCAACACGCGGACCCAGTGCGAATTGGTTGGTATTAATGACTGCAAATGCAGCCGGGACCAACGGCTTAACGTGCCTTTCGAAGCACAAAGAAACTCTTGATAATATATGTTTGGTCACCCATCCTATGGCCGGCCATTGACCGAGTGCACTAACCACTGCGCTATCGAGCTCCATTGATTAGATATTAAAGGTTTGATTTCACCGATGGTTTGAACCTTGAACCTTTGAGAGTTAAATGACACAAAATGTGTTTCAAAGAAATTTTGGAACACAAGAAAAGCGGTATTTAAAAAGACAGCCTCAATTGCTATGTAGTTATCTATTCTAAAAAATTTTAATAATGAAAGCAATGACCTTTATTATTAAATATGAAAGTATTGTAGTGTTTTTATCGTTAGTATCATATTCAAGTTAAAATAGAATAGATAAAAAACATAGTTTTGTTTGGATAGTAAGTTTCTTGTTTTTATAGGCTGTATCATTTGATAAGAAATGCAACGCAAGAATATGTGAACTTGTGAACACTCAGAAGCAGTTGCAAGAGCAAATTCAACAACTGGAGGAAAGAGAGAAAGAAGGAGTACAGTTGCTAAAGGAGGCCGAATGTATGTGGTCGTGTATGGAGGGTGCTTACAAGAATAAAATTAAAGAGTCATTAGAAAGGCAGAGTAACTTTTTGAAACAGGTAAGTACTGCACTTATCAATTTTATTAAATATGGAATTGGTTCCTTTTCAATAAGTTATATTAGTTAGATAATTTTGGAACTTAAACTCTACTGTAATATTGATTATAATGACTATCTTCACGGCTGTGTTGCCCCGCTGGTTTTGAATTGTCGCCATTTCTGAAGTCAAGGGTTCGATTGCCGGTCAATATATGAAATGTCTTATTTTATATTGCCTCGGGTTTGGGTGTTGTCATACCTTTCTGGTTTCATACACAATGCATGTCACTTCCTTAATTTGAGATCTCAATAACCTACCGTTTAAAATTTATATATTTATTTATGATTTCAGATGAAAGAGATAGAAACTAGTAATACAAAATGGCGTAAAAACAAAAAAGATCTAGAATTTCAAATACAAAACGTGGATAAATGTTGTACAGAAATAAAAGAAAAACTTCAATCGAAAACGAATGATATCAACTGTATTCGGATGGAAATAGACAATTTCAAGAAGAGAATTGCCAATAATATTAAACAGATAGAAGTGGTAAAGAAATCATTTGCCAATAAGAAAAAAGCATCTGACGTGAGTGTAAACTAAAGTAGCTGTAAATTTTCTTTATATGTTTGTTGTTTGGAATGTATTGCTGTTTTTCATTTTAATTTTGAAGGCTAAAACAGCAAGCTTATCAGCAGAAATGACAAGAGCTAAAAAAGTAGCTCAAGATGAACAAAATTATAAAAGAGAAAAGGAAAAAGAAGGTAGCAAATATATCAGAGAGGCGAGAGAAGACTTGCAAAAAATTTATAGACTAGTCCTTGAAAAGAAACTCGAGAATGAGGATCTTAGAGCTGAGGTTACAATTTCACTTGCGTTTTTAGTAATAAAATTACGCAATATATATTATAATATATTATTTTGACTTTCAGAAAGAAACTTTGCTTCAAGAATTGGATTTGTTAAAAAAATCTTGTGAACAATGTAAAGATAAGTGTAAAGATAAAGAAAAAAATTTGACGAATGAAATAACCAAAATTAATGCGGAAATAGCTGGTTTTAAAGTTAGATGTATAAAATGTCACGAATGTACAGATACAGCAGACGTGAGAAAGTTCTGTGTTGATTGCCCGAGATGCGCAGCAGAAAGAGAATGTCTCTACAAGGATAATCATTGCTATCCTGATACTGCTATGGATTGTGTTTGTATGAGTACGAAACAAAAGTTTATGGATAATGTTTTTGATAATATGTATTCCTTATTAGAACGAAAAACTAAAACTCCTGCTGGAAAAGCTGTAGCTAATGCAGTGCTCGAGTGTATGAAAAAGAGTAGGAATGGGAAATTGAATGAACCCACAAGAAAAATATTACAAGAATTTATATTAACAACAGTAAAGAAGAATTTGAATTTGACTGTTGTTGGAGGCGCTGTAAAGACTAGATGCGAGGTAAGCGTATACTACACATTGAAGATTGCCTTTATCCGTACCATATATTTATGTATTACATGTTACGACCAAGAAAATAATGTTTTATTTATATGTATTTATGACTGGTTGTTAAGCCATATTCTTTACCACATTAAAAAGTCTTAATAAATAAATAACAATTCACCTGTTTCCGTAAAAAAATGCATATCCGAAAAATTGATCTAAATATCTTCTTTTAGCTACCGTCTAAAGTTCACAAGTACTTAATTATAGTGTAAAATAATTATAATAAATTGTCTTGATGAAAAATTTCCATTTTGTCTCTGGGACTGAGATAAAAGATATTATTATTGTAAACAGTTTATTTTATCTAATTAAGATAAATACTTAAAAAAAGACAAAGAACCGACTTTAAACTAAAAAAAAACCGATAAGTAATACTTATCTCAAAAGTTACTTATTTAAGAAAATGCAATGGAAGTCGGAGATCGAGGCTTCTGTAGATTTTTTAATTAAATGATGGGCGCCTGACATCAATAGTAATTTCTGAATGAGTAGCTTTTGAGATAAGTATTATTTACTTTTTTTTTTAGGTTGTAGTCGGTTTTAAATATTTTTTATTAAGTTTTTATTTCATGCTTTTTAGTGATATTTATATTTTTTGAAATAATAGGTAAAATTGAAAATATTAAATATCTATATAAATAAAAATATATAACATAATGAAATTGGTTCACAATTCAAGAAGAAATCGATTATATAACCTACCTACTTTCATAAAAAGGAGTATGTATACATACTCCTTGAACATAGAAAGTTCACCATTCAGATTGTTTTTTTTAGCTGGATAGGGCCAAGTTTTACTGTATCAACTAAATATTTGGGTGATATTTGGTAAAAAACGTAATTTGTTTTGTTATAAAAGGAAAACTACTGATTTGATTTCGATAAAAATTTTAATGTAACCTTAGTCCATTAAGCTAAAATGGTCAACGATTGGCGGAAATATCGGTGGACATACACAAAAAAATACATCGCCATCGAACATATACCTTTTATATTTTTAAGTCGGTTAAAAAAATACATTGCGTTTTTGATTAGAAACTCAAAATATTATAACGAACACCGAATTATGGAACTGTCAAGTGTCTTATCGAAGTTTATGTTTATTAATTTATGTATATTGTTTATTTGCTAACTTTGAGTCATACTGCTATTTATAATGAATAAAACAGCTACTGACGGTGTTTAGATAGTTACTCTGAAGTGATTTGCTGTGTTGAGATAATGATTTTTCTTTAAAAACGTCGCCCGTCGGCCTGCTTATGATTAAAAAATTTTAGAAGAGGCAGTGTTTCTTTGAAGTGTATTCGGCGGCGACGTATCTATCAACTATTCACTGATACTACCAAGGAACAACACATAGATACTCGTACATTCGGGAGAGCTCGTGCATGTCAATATTAAAAAAAAAAATATATGGACAATCCTTATGAATTCTTTCCCAATATCTCAAAAATGTGATTAAATTATGTTAAAATATTGATATTAGTGAAAAGTTAAATAAAATCTTGACTCGTTGAGAGTAAATTTGGGTTGATGCTAATTGGTACAAATCTCCATACAAAAAAGGCATTCGCCGTCCTTTTTGGGTAGACGAATAGTATCATTGATCTAAAGTTGTGTCTACATGCACAACATTAAATAAATGTGACTATTTGTAGTTGTTAAAAATATTTCTGCATTCATAATCATGTACCACACATACATCTTGATAAACGAACAACAAGATTATTAGATTAAGAGGTATTATTTTCGATACATTTGTTATTTGAAATTAATCATATAAATGCGAGTTAAAGCCTGTACATGAACTGATTTCTTAAAAAATAGCATAGTAGCACTGATATGGAAGAATTAATAATGTCATTTTATCTAGAATTAGCAAAATCTATCCAAAATTAGAAAACAAACTTCATTAAGCAATTGCTTCTCTTTTTTTCAACAGATGGATCCAGATACTTATAACCGACTAATGCTTTGTTTGAATATGGTACAAGCAACAAAACCAGGTAAAGAAGATAAAGGAACAGTTCCTAAAAAGGTATATTAAAAGTCTCTTTGGAAAAGTAACTATGATTCGTTATCATATCTACTCGTATTTTGCATGTACTTTATCATTCCCTTTTGCATGACTTATTAATTAATAATAATTACAAATTTAACAGGAACCTTGCACACGATGGGGTGGAACGAGTGAATGTAATTGTCCTAAAGGGCCCAAAGGCTGTATATGTACAAAGAAAGGTCTACCTGATCCTGAGGACCCTGAATCGTGTCCAAATAAAGACAAAGATGCCGTAAGTAGTTAAAATTATGTAACTTCATATCTTCCAATATTTCCTTGTATATATTATTTTGTATGGATTTATGGAGTTCGATTTTATAAATTAACTAGCTTTTGCCCGCGACTTCGTCCGCGTAGAAAGAAACTTTGAACAGCATTTCTAACGAATATTTATTCATTATATCATGTAAAATACCTGAAATAAAGTTTCATCCCCATTTTATCCCCTTAGGGGTATTTTATCCCCTTAGGGGTGGAATTTATCAAATTCCTTTCTTAAGGGAAGCCTACGTCATAGTAGTTTTATGCATGCAAAGTCTCAGCCCGATCGGTTTAAAATTGACAAAGTTTCATACAAATTTTCATGCTCAATTTTATCCCCTTGGGGGCAGAATTGCTCAAAATCCTTTCTTAGCGGCTGCCTACGTTTTAGTAGCTTTATGCATGCAAAGTCTCATCCCGATCGGTTTAAAATTCACAAAGTTTCATACACTTTCATCCCCTATTTTATCCCCATGGGGGTAGAATTGATCAAAATCCTTTCTTAGCGGATGCCTACGTCATAAAATCTACCTGCATGCTAAATTGAAGTCTGATCCGTCAAGTGGTTTGGGCTGTGCGTTGATAGATCACTATGTCAGTCAGTCACCTTTGAGTTATATATATTTAGATACAAAGCTAAATTTTTATGACTTAATTCTAGGATGAGGTTATTACGTGCCCAAAAAAGGAAACGGCATCTTGTGGGGTTGAATGCAGTGTGCATGGAGTTCCAAGTGCTGTTGGGAAAGAAGTGGCGTCATGCAAACCTGAACCTTGTAATGATAAGAAATGTACATTTCCCAAAAACATGAGAGCCGCACAATGCATTTTGGGACCAGATTCTTTGACGATGGTATCTAAACTTACGCATACCAAAACGGAAACGCCTATTCCTGGCGTTTGTGTGTTGGAGAATCAGGTAATAATAATCTCATTTGAGAAATATATGTTATTTATTTAAACTTTTATTACCAATAAAACAACTAACTGAATAATGATATATAGAATGGGAGACATGTCTTCTCAATATAATATTAAGTTATCTGCTTTGAATGAAAGGTATTTAAGTAACTTGATGATAACTATATTATTTTCAGATCGTTTGTAAATGTGGATCTACTCCTACCAAACCATGTGCATGTCGAACAGGTGAGTAAAACTGTAGTAATTTGAATTAAAAAAATATTTCATATCAGTGTGGGAGTACAAAACATCAATATATGATATACAATATTTAATGGTTTTCATTATTCTAGACATTAAAAGCGACTCGCGTCAAAGAATAATTGAAGAAGTAATGGGGAAGTACACAGATGTGACACCCATAGAGAAAGTGAGTTACGCAATCCTAAGTGATGATACTATTGAGAATAAAGCTGCAATATTTTAAAGTCTCTCGCCTAGATTATTTTAATTATGCTCCTAACTTGATATGGTAACAATATAAAGAATTTATTGTAATGCGATTAAAATAAATTTGGTGCGAAAACATGGTGGTTTCATTGTAGCTAGAACCACCATGTCTTTAAATGTAGTTGTTTAAATTGTTAATATTTCATCTTAGGTTATGGACGAGAAGTGTAGAGCTGATTTTATAGGAGAAAATCAAAAAAGACACGTTAACTTCAATTCCAAAATTAAAGATGTTTTTCAGTTAAATGTGTCTGAAATTATGAGCTCCTATTCATTCAGACATTCATCGTCTTATTTCATTGAAGACGTGACTCACGAAAAGAAACAATTTTATGATAGTTGCAAGCATCAAAATGATAATGGACATTATAAGGAACACAAGAAGAAAATATTGCCAACTCTTCATTGTTCTAAAAAAGTATTTAACCAAATATCCAAAGAAAAGACAGATGTTTTATTAAGCAGTCCTTTATTAAATTATAACAACTTTATCAACAAAACTGTTGATTGCGAATGCTTAGACTCGAGTGGCCAATTTACAAGAACAAACGATAAACCCAATATTTTTGTAAAATCTGGAAATTATACCATAGAAAAAGATTCACAAATTCAGGATTATGGTGGTTTTATACTACAAAGATGTGATGGTATATCTGTTAAAACTCTAATAAAGAACTTCCTTTTACAAGTGTCTAATAAAAGATTCAATGCTCGTCGTTCTAATATTTTTCAGTGGGTCACCGTAGAATCTCTTCTTAATGAAATATGTACTTTAACTCGGACTAATGATAAAACTGGCTATGCTACGGAAAATGAAATTGAAATTAATAATATGACATTAAATGAAGATGATGCCAGATTATCCAATAAAAATGTCGATCAAAATATACTGCTTAATTCTCAAAACCAATGTTCAGCAGTAAATGGCCAAATTAAAACAACAATCAATTATGTTTATGTAAGTGATTTATTTGAAGATAGCTCAAATCAAAGTGATGAAAAAAGCTTGGCAAACGATTTATCCTCTGAATAATAAACTAACAGGTGAAAGAAAAGCTGTACTATATGTAGTGATAATAAATCTTAATATTATAAAATAGGATGTGATATTTATTGTGTAATAAAACAATTTAAATTATGGATTGCTTTCATTAAGTTATATTCATCTTTAAAAACCAACCATTTCGTCTCCATTCAGTTGTTTTGTGCTTCCACATTAATTTATTAAGTCAATAATTTAATAACAATTTTTTATATTTAGTAGAAGATTAATGATATTTATGGTTAACAGATACAAAACATCTGAAAACGGGAGTCGAACAATGTGATAAGACCATCTGCGCTTCGATTTGGGAAGAAGCGAAAAGCTTAGACTCTGATCAAATAAATATTGGATTAGATACTCATGGCAAGTCAAAAATTTTAAAAAGAATTATACCAGATCAAGATAACGGTTCATTAAAAACGAATGATAATTTACATCAAAGAAAATGTTTACGACAAAAAAAAGTCGCAAGATCTGAAAAATCAGGGAGATCCAGTGTCAAACTCGAAGAAACTAAGATAAAAACAGTAGATAGTAAAGCTTCATTTGGAAAACTGAATAAAAGGAAGATTCGAAGTGATAGTGAAAATTTCAGAAATGGATTAACTAACATCACCGAAACGCCTTCAGGAACTGTGGCTATGGAATTAGATGAAGATATTATAAAACAAATTGAAAAACAGCTAGAAGTGAACCGTAAAGTATACGCATCCATAATAACAACTGACTCCGGTCGTCACATAGTTAATTTTAATCCAGCAGGCTACTCCTCAAATAATATATATGTTTTTAAGAAATCGTCATCTGGAAGTTTATTGATAGAGATTGGTAAAAATTATGTTAAGAATGATGATACAATAACAGAAGAAAGTTCTTTAAATTCGTCAGGTTCTGGTATTTCTGTAGCAGTTGCAGTAAAGTTAGAACATCCAGAACAAGATGGAATAAAACAATCTCAAATCAATCTTGACATTAATGTTATCGATCCTAATAAAATTCCTAAACACGTTTGTTGTTCTGAATCTAAGCTAGAAGATATGCATAAAAATGATAAAGAAGATAATTTCAGTAAATTGAATACGCCTAGACACGCACGAGAAAATACTAAACCCGTATTCTTCAAGCTATTGATTAAAGATTCGAATCAAGATCTTGACTGTCCTTTGGCTGTATTGCAAGTGACAAACTCAAATAATTATATCGTTGATGTAGACAAGGAATATGAGAAAGCATATAAAAAAACTATGAAAGAACATTTTGGTTTAGACTTTGAATGTCCGATAGAAATATCGAAGACATCATCAGGTACTGTTGTAATCGATTTCATAGATAATAAAGATATAAATAGTGCAATGCCGAATGCACTCTTAACAAGATCTTTATCAGGTAGTATAAAAATTCAAACAAATTTGAAAAGGGATTCTGATAAGCCTTCTTATAGAACATCATTTTCTTTTGAAGGAAAACGGCCATCTGAAGTATTTTCCAGTATGTTAAATCGTTTACCAGTTTCAAAAAAAGAAAGTAAAAAAGTCCCTTATTTAACAGATAAAAAATCGAGTAGTGATTCTAATTTACTACAAAAAATAAGAATGAAACTACAAAAACAACAAAATTTGTTAATCGAGTCCTCTGCTTTTCTTAAAAGAACTACTTCAGGTCAATACGCTGTTGTGTTAAATAAAGATTCAAAGAAAGCTTTTCTAAATGATTTAAAGAGTTATGTATCCAGGAATGTACACGGTAAAGTGCCAATCAAAAGAATGGAAGATGGAGAGATTATTATTGTATTGAATAATGATATTGATGAAAATAGTAAAAACGGTTCACTAAAGATCACTCCATCTGGGAATATTTACGTCTTGGTAGATGAAATATATTTAAACAAAGTTACGAATGTTAATGAGAATTCTAATTGTATATCAGAAGCGGTGATACCTAAACTAGAAGCTGGTACAAGTCAAAAGCTTGAAAACAAAACTGTGACAACTACCTGTAATGCCGTACCTAGTTCATGTAATTCGTGTGATCCTAAAAAATGTGTTTGTGGTGAAGTATTAAGTCACAGTGTTGATAATAGCCGTTCTGAATATTTTGATGCTAAGTGTGTGACAAATTTTAAGTTTTGTTCCGTCGAAGACAGGTATCATGATTGCAAAAAGGCCAAGTGCCATTATAAAGTTACGAATAAATATTCCAAAATTTTTACAAAATTGAATGTACCGAAAGAGAATTCACCGCACATTGTCATCAAGCAATGCACTTGTCATTCCAATGCTCAAAGTGGCTCCATGGGTACAGACCAGCAGCTTTTTTACGTGTCCCAGTCTATTTGTCCATTTCATAAAGATAGATATGAAGCTGTTTCTAATGAGCTTTTAGAAATAACTGGATTATGCAATAAACCTCAAAAAGAGACCGTGAAATGTAAAGATTGCGATGATAATTGTGATATTGAGTCAAGTGATGGAAAATCCTCATGTATTAGTAGTGATCTAGACCACTTAAAATTTTTGCCTCCACAACTTCCTCCTTTTCTGACTGGCTTTAGATGCGAATAGACGTTATTGAAGTGTAGCTAATGTTTTGTTCTAGAAATCTGTAGAAAACAGTGAATAAAGTTTGTTCTGGTATATATTTTTTTGTTCTTATGGCATTAAATCAATAAGATTTTATAATTACTAGTAATACTTTCTTTACAGTGTTTGGCATATCTTTTAATATTGTCCAAGTTTATTTCTAGTCGAAGCACTGATATAAATATTCACAAATCTAAGAATAACAAGACGAATGCAGTGGACGTGCATTTGAACTTTGCCGCAATGCATATTAGCTTTGTAGCACTAGTCATTTCGTTTAAAGTTTATGTAGTTACGCCATATGCTAGTGAAACGTGCTGGGAGATTTAGCGTTTCACTATTGTAGCTAATGGATATTTTAATGATAATAATGTGTACTTGTTTCGAATAATATCTATACTAATATTATAAAGCTGAAGAGTTTGTGTGTTTGTTTGTTTGAACGCGCTAATCTCAGGAATTACTGGTTCGAATTGATAAAATCCTATTTGTGTTGAATAGACCATTTATCGAGGAAGGCTTTAGGCTATATAATATCACGCTGCAACTATTAGGCGCGAAGGAATAATGGAAAACGCGGAGAGAAGTCACTGGCGGCCACTAGTGTTTTATAAATTTCGTCCCACAGGCGGTGAATGTGTCCATTGGAAACCTTTTTAACCTATAAGAACTTAATGACAGTACAGTACACATTCATGCGAAACAAATTATTATTATTACAATATTTAACTGTGTGGCTCGATGGCGTAGTGGATAAGCGCCGCGGCCCGCGATCGTAGTCGTTAAGCAACTTTCGCAAGGGTCGGTCACGGGATGGGTGACCAAAAAAATATTATCTCGAGCTACTCCGTGCTTCGGAAGGCACGTTAAGCCGTTGGTCCCGGCTGCATTTGCAGTCGTTAATACCCTCCAATCCGCATTGGGCCAGCGTGGAGGGTCATGGCCCATCCTCCTTAACCATCCATAAGGAAGGCCTGAGCCCCTGCAGTGGGGACGTAAAAGGGCTGGTGATTTAACTTTAAATCTATTAGGGTTCTGGACCCAAAAACGGGACTACATTACTAAGAATCCGCTGTCTGTCTATATGTCACCAGTATCTCGTGAACAATGATAGCTATATAGTTGCCATGTTTTTGATATATATAAAAACTATCATCAGTTAATTATAATCTCTGCTCCAATATTCCTAGGATAAAGGGAATTTTTATGGATATAATCAAGAATAGGTATAGAAGTAGCTTCGTGACATAGTGGATAAGCACTGCGATCCACCATCGTTGTTGTTAAGCAACTTTGCAAGGGTCGGACACGGGATGGGTGTTAAAATATTATTTGAGCTACTCCGTGCTTCGAAAGGCATGTTAAGCCATTTATTCTGGCTGCATTTGCAGTCGTCTCTCTCTAATCCGCATTATGATAGCGTGGACCATCCATAAGGATGACTTGAGCCCTTCCAATGGGGACGTAACAGGTCGGAAGATGAGGTATAATTGACGTAACTCACCAAGTGGACCAAACGCGGATTTTTTTCATTATCAGCGATTTTACGTCCCCACTACAGAGCCTACAGGCCTTTTCTATTGTTGGTCAAGGAGGATTGGCCTGATGGCCGGGATGACCTTCCACGCTGGCTAATTACGGATTGAAATGTATTAACGTCTGCAAAATCAGTTGCTTAACGAACCTTCCGAAGCACAGAGTGGCTATAGATGATAATTTTTTGGTCACCCATCCCGTGATCGAGCCTTGCGAAAGTTGCATAACAACAATGATCATGGGCCGCAGCGCTTATCTACTACCGACCGACACTATGTAGGAGGCAGATATTTGCAAAAAAAATTTTTTGTCATTCATCCGATGGCTTTAGCAGTTCCGGTCTGACTTCGGTTAGACCGATCCGATGACTGAACTTGAGATCACTAAGGTAGTGGTTAGAGCGTTGGATCTGCGATACGCTTTTTAAGTAACTTTGTGACCAAAATATTATCTCGAGTCTTTCCATGCTTCTGAAGGCGCGATAGGTCGTTTGTCCTTTCTTCAACTGTAGTCGTTTTAATCCGCACTGGGTCCGTGTGGTGTTTCCTGGGCCATTCTCCATTCCATCCATAAGGAAGACAAGTGCTTCAGTAGAGAGGACATTAATATGCTAGTACCTAATAAGACTTCAGATCGAACTATGAGTCCTTCGAAGACAGCTAATCAACAAATATATATTTTATTCAATTTGCTAATATTTCTCTCACTCAACAAACCGTTTTGTTGGTATCAAACAATTATGTTTGTTGTGATCGTTAAATTCTCATCGGGCGTGGAATACGTTTCGAATTACCGTTTCCGCACGCACCAGCCTTTTTCATAACCCACGTCGTTCTACATTTGCCAGTCGACAAAGTGAACGCACTGTACTTAGGATTGTATACCAAGACCTAGATGTTCTAGAAATACAAATCATTTTCTCATAGTACGTTAAACAGATTGAATTTCCGCTTGAAGAATAGAATGTTTCTTCTTTTCTTTAATAACCTCTTTATAAAGAGTTGAAATACCTCTTTATAATGTTAGTAAAGATAATTCAATTGATAATTATTCAAATTTATTGAAATATGTTAAGAACCTTACACCGGAACTGATGAATACAAAACTATAACAACTATATATCTGCATTAATTGTAGGCTCGATGGCGGAGTAGTAAGCGTATTTGTCTGTGACGCGGAGTAAAGCAAGTTTGACAAAGGCCTGTCATAAAATAAGTGACCAAAAAATAGTAGCTCGTACTCCTCCGTGCTTCGGGAGGCATGTTAAGCATATGGTCTCGGTTGCAACTGCAGCCGTTAACACCTAAAAAATCATCCACACTGAGCCCGCATGATGGATTATTTTCCCAGTCTCCCTATTCAATTTAATTCTACCTATAGATTTTTGCTCCATCAGTGAGGATATTTATACCGGTGATGATAATTAATTGTAATACTTGTATTACAAGCCTTTCAAGATTAGGGTAAAATAAGTGTTTTTATTGGTTCATAAGAGTAACAGTAATAAAAAGTCGGGGAACCACGGATATATTGAAAAATAATTTGAATGAAATTTGAAATCAAATTACTTTTATCCATAAAAGGATTTACTAAGTTACCGTGGATTTCATTTCACAAAGAGTTATTCTTCGGATTCTCTATTTAACTTGCCTACAACACATCTAAGTGAGAAACTTAAGAAACTTTCAGTTATATCATACTTCTTCTAGTAGTCTTACAGCTACGACTTGGAACCAAGTGAAATTCGCAGCGTAGCGATATTCCTGTGGCACTTACTCCCGTGGGCGCGCAGGCTTATTGAATACAAATTGTTTCCTTATCAGACAACTTTGGGCTGGAGTATGAACAAATGTCGTTTTTTTTTATGCAGCGGACAACATTGATTCCAGAAGGTCGACACTGTAGAGTAAATGCCTACTGAAACTACCATTCTTTTCAATGTGCTAGGGATATGGTTGCGATGAAAAGTAAACCTTATGCAAACTCTATTTTGCTTTTAGGAGTCTCTCGCTCAGTTGCACAAACGTCAATTAAGGTTTAATGAGGACTTCAATCTCTAATGAATGTTCTAAATTTGAATTTTTGTATGGGTAATGGGGCATCAAACTAATATAAATTTTAATTTACGTTTGTGCAACTGGCTGTGTATTGATGATTGTCGTTTATTGATTGTTGTAATAAAAACTTTTTTCTGTAGCGTAATTTAGTCGCGTAGCGTAGTCCAGTAGTTTTTTTTTGTTTTATAAAGTACAAAAACAAAATCAAATCAGAAAAGAGTTTTTCTTCCGCGACTTTGTTCAAGTAAAGTACAGCTTAGGTGAAAGAATATTTAAAATCGGCCCAGTATTTCAGAGCAAACAATCTACGATACTTTCAACAATCGAATCTTTGAGATTAACAAAGAAGTTAGAATAACGAAAGAAAGCAAGAACACGCTATTTATGAAATATATTTTAAGTATATGTGTAACAATTTTGAATTCACAATGTTATATTAATATAATTCTTTATCATAAATATTTTTTTTTTATTCAGATAAGGCTGGTTTTTGTTGATTATGATTCTTCTAGTTCTTTTTACAATGCAGAGCACATTTCAAATGAAGTTAGGGCCCTGTAATGTTATTATCGCGATACAGCAGATATTGATGACAGGAGAACACTTAATACGATTACGGTATCTGGAATAGAAGAGGAGAGACATTTTAAAATTATTATCTCGATAACTTAAGAACACGTAATGAAATGGGACGAAAAGCACTTTTGGTGTCTGCGACATTAGAAATTGAATTTCATTTAAACTGTATTTTTTGTTTTCAATACTAATTTATTGAGGGTTAACGCATAACTACACTGACATCGAATTGAAACAAAATGCACTCAACGTTCAATAGATTCTATATTGTTAGATTTATATGTATACGTTCAATACATCGAGTTGAATTAAATCATTTTTATTGAACGCAATGTCAAGGAGATCGGTAGACTCGCGGTAAATAACGAAAGATGGAAAATATATTACTATTAATATAATGGCTCCACCAAAAAAGAGAACTCAGATTTATAATACAGAACCACGTAGGCGAAGCCGATGGTTGACATATAGTTATAATAATATAGTTTATGTTAGCTTTTGTCAGTTATTTGAAAATATATTAAAAATATTTGCGTACGTCAATACTAATACTCAAGTAGATACTTCTTTTCGAATGTAGATAATTATAAGAATTATTTATTTAATCTCACGCCATCTTACCCGAATTGATAGATAAATGACAGACGCCAAAGGTCTCATCATATCGTATCGCTCTTATTATATCGGAACGTATTACGCAACCGACGGTGACCGACAATTTCATTTACCATCCGAGCAGTTGAGGGCATGAGAGGCAAAAAGGCCCCGTACATCAATACATCGTCGCGTATCAGTTTCCACAACAAAAAGCTT